TTATATTTTATATTTTATATTTTATATATTATATTTTATATTTTATATTTTATATTTTATTTTTTATATTTTATGTTTTATATTTTAAGTTTTATATTTTATATTTTATATTAATACCATTATGTATTATATGTTCAATACCTATTTATATTAGAGAAATATGAATCATCTGTTAGGCACAGACGGTTTATGTATATAGCTTATATATATATAGCTTATAATTATTTATAAATATTACATGGACACATATCATATGTCATTCATAGAAATTACACGGCTCGTTATATAATTTACAATTATTTTCATCATGCTTGTTTATGTTTCATAAACATCTGCCATTCGTGGACTGCAGCTCATTGCAGAGTGAATGGAGCTGAGCTCTAAGCCGGCAGCTCTGGCAGCTCTCGTAGGTCTGTCCGGTTTGGCGCACGGCGGGACGATTGACAGGCAGTTTAATAGTTTTGCTAGTCAATCTATTCGCGTATTTCGCTCGTGTAGTGAGCCAGGCTGATGCGAGCTGCCGCACACCGGCCGCTGTCAGTCAGTCGGTCGGCCATTCAATTCGTCTGTGGCTGGTTCATTTGGCTCTTTGAAATTTGATTGCACATACGATTGGCGGGCTTACGGCCGGGGACACGTGGCCGGCTGGGCTCCACACATAATATATGCAAATGTCGTCTATAGAGTATAAATTTTCGTGCATTACGGCAGCCCCTCTGCTCGATGCTCGGTTGGCCAACGTTGCGTATGCGCAATATTTCAGCAGCCTCTAGTTGAAGTATTTTTTGTTTTGTTTTTTTTTTTTTTTTTTTTTTTTTTTTTTTTTTTTTGGCTCCCCATCAACTGATGGCCTAAAAGCTTTGTCAACAATGCATTTCAAATAGTTATGCGTGGCATTTTCTGGAATTAGTGCAACAGCGCCAATTTCAGTAATTGGAGTTGGATTAAGAATCGAAATTGTGATATTTGGCCAAAACAAATTCAAGTGAACCGATAAGAGCTCAATTTGGGAAGGGCTCTGATTAAATGTGCCCATTATAAGGAGTGGACAATGTGAGTGGCAGAAATTAAAGCAATCGCTGTCGAGCGAGCTAAAGCAGATGGATGACGAACTGTATATGTATCGAGTGGTCTGTGGAAGGAATGCAGAAGAGATTTACCTTCTCCTCTTCATATCCTCATATCAATATGCCGCAAATAAATGAAAATGGATGCCAGAGCTGGATGAATTCAACTGCTGAGTTTATCTTCTCTCTCTCTCTCTCTCACTCAGTGAGTTTTTTTCTTGACGTTGCTTGCCATGGGCTTCCACTTTTTGCCTATCAACTTTTGTTTTATTGCGCCGATTACTATGAAATCTTCAGAATATTATCTACACATTCTATATCATATACATCAATTTAGCACATACGCAAACTCTTTTGCATATGGCCGAAATTTGCAATTAAACTTCAATTTAAAGAAGAATTAAAGTCTAATAACATAGTAGATGCATTCCCATTAATAGGAAGTGGTTATCGACCATCTAATATGGGCCTTAATCAACTCAGCTGATTATGAATATGCTTACTTTGCTCTACCACGCTTCCTTCTACCCGTGAAGTGCCCATTAAACATTATATTCTGAATCACATATAGATATATGTAGAATATAAATATAAAATTGTCTTCGCCTGTTTGTTTTCTTTACCTTTGCCCTAATACCATTTGGCTTAGGAAGACTTTTACAATTTCATTAGTATGTCTGGCATTGTTGCCCGAAGAAAAAGAATAACAAAGCAGATAATATGATGTCTTGTACAAGTATGTAATCATGTGTCTATGGATGTGTGTGCCTACACACCTATGTACATACATACAAGCAGATGTGTGTCTACTTTGTTAAATATAGCTCTCGGTGTCTGTATGTCATTTCTATCGCCTCGGCTTATCCCTCTGTGTATGAAAGTCGCTTTGACGGACCGTTCGCTGACTTCGTCAAGCTGAGGCTGAGACTCTACCCGGCTATTCATTTGAGCGACCCGTGAGTAGCGGATATGTTATGCTCAAACGACTGTTTTTTCTACGTAAAAAGTTTGCGCAAATGTGAGAGCTTTAATATTGTCTGTTTACCGTGGGAGTGTACGTAGAGTAGCTCAAGAAATCACTGTGAGCATATTAAAGGTTTACTCATCGTCTAATTGAGAGTCTCTTTAAGGTTTGATTTTATATACATATGTATATTCCATTTATTCTTTATATATTTTATTTATTCGACTAACTTAACAATGATAGACTATTAGCATCAGAGTAGACTTTATATATTAAATAAAACTATTTCAGACTGAGATGACAGTAAATACTAATAAATCTTTGCCACTTGCATATTATATCTTTTGATCATTTTTAAGACAAAATATGGTTGGACGGCATAAAAGAGGGAGCAAAAATCCTGTGAATCGTTTTTATATGAGATAAAGTTTTTTTCGATTCGTTCATTGTAGACTCGCTTGTGTATTTACCAAAATTATTCCCCTTATATAGAGTCTACTTACGAACACTTTTGTATTAGGTAGAGCTAAAGCTAGTCTAGTTTTTTTAAGAGTGGATTTTTTAGATTGTCGAGTATCAAGTTTCTTTAAGGCTCGTTTCTGTATAAATTACTTGATTTTCTCTAATCCCCGCTTCTTTATTATCTACAGATATATTACAATCGAGACTCGCTTTTATATATCGCTTTTCCCACAGTCTAATTGAGAGTTACTTTAAGACTCTGCTCAGATTTAAGTTGTGATATTTTCGTTGTTTTATCTGGAGTCTCTTTAGGAATTGCTTCTTTGTATATCAGCTAAAATTGTTTGCAATTGTCGAATCTAGAGTAAGAGTTGAGACCTACTTCTTTCTGTATCACTGAGAGCTTACCCCATTGTCTACCTAAGAGTCTCTTTAAGACTCTCCGCCGTCTTAACTAGAGATTTGTTCGCTGTCCAATCGAAAATCCCTTTAAGACTTCCTTCTGTCATAGCTGGAGCTGTTCCCATTGCCTCATCTAGAGTCTGGTCTAGTCTCCCATCCATAGATCTGCGTTAAGTGATGTAATATAACTGTATTGTGTCGGTAGCTCTAAGTAAGATATCTGTCAAGTCAATGACTGTGAAAGCTCGTTCAACACTTTGACTTTGCTCGCTTCCGCTCATCACTATATATACTCATTAAAGCTCTCTCTCTGTCTCTCTCTTTCTCTCTCTCTCTCTCTCTCTCTTTCTGTCTTTCTCTCTCTGTGTGTTTAACTGTTTTTGGCAACGACACGCAAAATGTTGAAATCGAGTTATGACAGCAGCACAAGCAAAATTTCGCTTCCCCTCCAGCCCCTCGCTCTCTGATTGTGCAATGCCCCCAGCCCAAGCAGTCATTGTCACTCGTACGCTCTGTTTGCCAACTTGTTCCTGTCTGTCTCTCTCTCTGTGTGTGTGTGTGTGTGTGTGTGTGTGGACGCATAAAATCAGATATCAAAAATTGTTTACAAATAATTTAATAGCCACAAAGCGCGCGCGCTCCATCCATTTGAAGGCCCACGGCGTACACACACGCACGAGCACACACACACACACACGCAAACGCAATCATAAATCGGCTTTGTTGACCAGCACACACACACACACACACATACATACACATTCATATTGGTGTATCGCTGGCTTATGGCACCAACTGCGGTCAGAGCAAAATCACCGAAACAACAAAGGACCCGCTGACCACTCTCTCAGCATGTGTGTGCGTGTGTGTGTGTGTGCTAGTTGGTCATAAATAAAATGTTAGTCCCGGGCACAGTTTTGGGCTGGGGCCGGCAGCGGGATGCGGATGCGACTACACGACATTAGGCCGAATTAATGCGCGCAAGGACTTAAGTCGCAAATTTATTTCTATTCAACATACAAGACAAAACGATGAACGGCCCCACAAAACAACTAGAGCCCGACCCCAAACCGGGTGTGCCTCTGTGTGCGTGCGTGTGTGTGTGTCCACATTTTGGCATGACAGTGGAAATCCGGCGATAAATGTTACCAGCAAATGTGCGTGCCTTCGAAATGGTCCGGCCGAGCAGGCCGTACGGAATCAGCAGCCAGAAGTCAGCACTGCCGGCCAGGGGCGGCCGCAGAGTGGGCGGGCCGAGGCGTATATGGTAACTAGAACAGTTTAGGTGCTGCTGCTGCTAGCTGTTGTCCATCTGGCCTGGCCATTGGCTGCTCTGCGTTAATTTGTGGACAAATTTGTGCGCCGCAACGGAAGTTTCCAAGTGGTTGGCGACGGAGTCGACAGCGCCTTGTTGCCCATTGTCTGGCCTAATCCAATGGATCAGCAATCGATAATGAAGTTGCCGAAAAACACACGCGCCGGCGTCATAAGTTAGCCCCATCCCCAGCAAATCGACTTAGTCGAAAACTGGCTGGCTGCAGGGCACCAGACGGTACGGGGGCTGGGCGGTTCGGTGTTTGGGCGGTTGGGTGTTTGGGTGGTGCGTGGCGTGTTCAAGTGTGCCGTCGATTTGTTTGCTGCAAATCCAGTTATCGATGAGCTTGGGGCCGATACCGTATGATGATGTTGATGCTGCTGCTCGTTGACGTTAGCCGGGCACAATTTCAATTTATGTCAAGTGCTGGGCGAGGGGCAAACAATGGGGCAGAGGGGTGTATCTATATAGCATACGCTCCACGCTCGACCAACCCGGCCCCGCTGGATGAGCACATTTTGTGCATTGATTCATGCATTTGCTTGCGGATGCGAATCGGCGATTGGAAGCCAGGGCTGCAAATTGACTAATATATTGTTTGCTATGCTTAGCCACAAAATGAAATTGGCAATAAGCCTAAGCACTGGCCCAGACAAGAGCTCCACCAAAAGCCCCGCCACAGCGCCGCTAAGCACCTTGCCTAATGCACTGAGTGGACTTACGCTGGATCTGCCAGACCGTAAAAAAACACATCATAAAATAAGGTAATAGTTGAAGTCGATGTGTAAAGGCAGGATAATCACTCAATACTGTTCTATGTTATGCTCTTTGTGCATGCTTAAGGCCAGAGCCTAACATTGAGTGAATTTAATTAAAAAACAAACAAGCAGCAAGAGATAGAGCTTTTCGCATTAGCTCTAAACTCATGTGCAAACATTTCACTCGCAGTTCTCTCAACCGCGTAATTAGCATGGCATTTTTAGCATAGCTCATCAATAACTGTTTATCCTCTCTCGATGCCTGCAAATGAATCTGTTTCACTCACACTCTGTACGTTTGAGTGGAAGTGCTCACGGTGTGAGAAAAAACTCAACAAGCGAACATTTGCATTCGCCCTTTAAAGAGCTCGCTCGCGATCGGCTATTGCCGTTATTTTGCCTTGCTTCACTTCGCTCAGAGAGAAACCGTTTGGTTGAGTGGATTTAAGCAAAGCAGTCTTAAGTGAATGCATTGGTATGCGTGCCTGACGTGAGTATGTGCATGAGTATGTGAATGTAAAGGCCGTGCTTTTGATTTTTGATTTATTTGCTGGCTTTATTCGTCTCATTGAGCGAACGTTAATCGTGTTCATTCCCGTTCCAAGAGAGTTGCAGGAATACTTCCAGTCAGGCCGCTTAACACAACAAAAACAAAGGCGAAGAGAGCAGAAGATTTTGCTCAGAACGAGAGCGAGAGAGAGAGTACAATCTTAGCTGTTAAATTCGCAAATATTTATGTATGTATGTAGTTATATTTGTAAGCTATGCTCAAATTCGACCAAAAGCAACAACAAATTACTGATTTTCTGTGTTTGATGCAGATCTAAGGCCGGATAAACAAGTAGGCAGAATAGGATAAAGGAGAAAATGAAAGAGTGGGCATTTTAAGTAGTTTGAGTTTTAATCGCAAAAGGAAAGGAATGGAAGTGGAATTGATGGTGGCCTTTTGCTCCGTTGAGGTTTAATCCGGGCCTGAGTAGATCCAAAGTAACTCGAATTAAAGTTAACAATGTAAAATATATCCCTATATAATCAAGCAATAAGCTGAATAGATATATGAAGGCCATATGCATATGTACATATGTATAGTATGGATAGATATTATTGTTGCGATATATTAATGAAGTTTGAATGATGACGATATATCGTCTCCCATGCCAACTATGTTCTGTGATCGATGCAACTATAAATAGCAACGACGACTAAAGTTAATCGACAGAAGAAACCATCGGGCACATATGCACTATAGTTGATTTTGGCGCTCTTAAACAGAAATTATAATTTTCCTTGGATCAGCTCGCTGATATTAAAGCCATAAAACAGCTTGGCGCTGGAGAGGCAGCAGCAGAAAATTTGATTAGGCTGGCAGCGTATTTAATTCAACTGGCCCTTGCGAGCGGCAAAATGAATTTGCAAAACTCGCAAATGAAATTTTTTCCTCTAGTTTTTTATTTTCACTTATATTCGCTTGGATGGGGGCGGGCGAAGGCTGTTAATGCAATAACAAGGCCAAATGCTAGGCATGAACTGTTGATGTTGCTGATAAAGTTGCCAACGAGCGAGTGTGTGTGTGTTCGTGTGTGTGTGTGTGTGTGTGGGCATGGCTTAACTTTCAATTCATTAGACCACAACAACGACGTGACAACTTTTGCAATGGCCAAACAAAAGCTAAATACAATCAACTGTAAACAAAAGCCGAAGTGACACACGAGCCGACGCGAGGCGAGGCGCGGCAGGAGACGCAGGACACGCAGGAGACGGGGGCCACAGTGCAGCATCTAAACAGCAAACGAAACTGAAACTGGAGCTGTAGCTAGAGACGGCACAAGTTGCATTGGAGCGTGCCACGCCCCAAAATGAAAAGCAAAGACAAATTAGTTGCAAGTTGGCAGCGACTGCGACGGCGACTGCGACGGCGACTGCGACAGCGGCTTCTTTTGCAACTGCAAGTGGAAGCCGACTGCAAAAAGTTTTCTAGGCGCTGCCAAACTTATTCGCTACCTCACCCAGAACCTGACTCTGTCTCGCTCTCGCTCTCCCCCCTCTCTGTCTTTCTTTCGCTCGCCTTATCTATTGCATTGTGCGCATTGTTTAAAGTTTGCGCAAATGTGAAATAGAATTGGACGGGCGAGCAAAAGGCGACGCTGCCAACGAGCGCCACTTGGCCGAGGCTAAACTTTAGCCAGCTAAACCACCTCACCCCTCCCGCCTCTGCAGCGCATACTTTGTTTTTTTTTTTTTTTTGTTGTTGTCTGTCTCAGCTACTCTTTAGTTTTATATTGTTATTGTTTGAAAGGCCACTTTGGCAACGCGCGAATTAGCCAAATAATAAATAAGTGCACGACAAAAGGCGGCAAAAGTATTTGAACTACAATGAAATTACTTGAGATGTGACAGCTCCTCAACGAGCTATTGTTGTTGTTGTTGTTGTTGCATCTATTGTTGTTGCTGCTGCCCTTTTGCCCAATACTTGGCAACTTGGCGATCTTGCCACCGACTGTCAGCAGCAGCCGCAGCAGCAGCAGCAGCAGCAGCAAACCGCAACATTTTGCTCCACATACGGAAAAAACTTTAGTCATACTCGAGTGTGTGTGTGCGTGTGTGTGTGTGTCTGCTAGCTAATGTTCCCCAGTTGATGATTCTCAAATTTCTGTTCAACTTTTTATGCTCTCTCGGGTAGTGCATAGAGTATATGGGCTGTGCGCCAAGTTCATCTAGGCTAGACCCATTGACGGGACATCTTGTTCAAAGTATTTTGCATGGTGACATTTGATCATTACCAACTCAGCACATCTGCGTATTTACTTGGGTCCTTACTTTCAAGTTCCGGTCACGAAAATATGCGAAAGCATAATCATATCTTTCCAAGGATCGGTTGAAATGTTCAAATTTCGATCGAAGCTCCTACCAAGATCGATTTGTTTTCTTGCTCTCTCTTTCTGTCTCGCCCTGTCTCTCTTGGTCTTTCTGTCTGCGTCTCCCTTAAGTTGATCATAGTAAATAATTAGAGGCTAAATCATTCTTCTATCGAGAGATTTGAAGCACTCGGCTTAGTCTAGTCTCATAAAAAGAGGGCGTTCAAATAGTCTCGATTTTCCACATTCCTAGGGGTTCGTTGTTTGAGAAGACCTGAAATTTCGCATATAGAAAATCGTTTAGGCAAAACCTTAGTAGTTTTTCTTCTTTTTAAAGCTTGGTAGTAAATTGAGATAATAAAAAAAAGTAACTGAATCGACTTTTAGCAAAGTCTAAGCTTATCATAAAGATATGAAACAGGTCACACAGGTAGCTCAAGAAACTATCGCATGTGTTATGGGTATTTGAGCAATAATTGAAACTGATTTTGCCATTTAGTTCATATTCCCTAGCGAAATGTTCTCAATTCTTTGTAAAGCAGTTTTCCAGCACAATTTCATACATGATAAACGACTACTCCCCATATGAGCAGCATCACTTGATAACTTTTATTCTGATTTTTGTTGTTATTCTAGCTTTTTTCTCTTTTGGCATTGGCCGTTCTGCGTTGTTTGCTTAGCTGCGCTGTTGTTGGCCAGAAAGTTGACTTGTATTGAACATTGTGGGGGATTCCGGGCTGGGATTCGGTGGGTTGCTGCGGTGGCTAGGCTTACAAGCTTCTGGGCCCTGGCCGGCTTGAGCTGACCAAATGTGAGCCCTAATTATTTGCTTGGCCTGCAGCTAGGGCTTCATTATGAACTCGCCTGCAGCGAGCGTGACCAAGATAAGAGCCTCAAACTTTGCTCAACAACAGCAACAAGAACAGCGGCTATAACAAGTAAACATTTTGGCTAAATGCACTTCACGTAAATGGCGATAGAGATAGAGACAGAGTGAGATGCAGAGAGAGAGGGAGAGAGAGGTGGAGATAGGGGGAAAGCAGTGACATTAGGAATAACAACAGCAGTCCGAGTCGGACTTCATCTTTAAGTTTCTTGCAATTAAACTTAATGCATTACTAAAACTTGAATGCAATTCTCAAACTTTTCAATTTGTGGCTGCAAACTGAGTTCGTTTACAGGAAAGGAGATCAAAGACTGAAGACAGAATCAGTTAAGGTAACAGGACTATGGGTATTATATATAGACATCTTCATTATAAACAAGGTATTATAACTAGGTATCATATTTATACATATTTATTAGAAACTTATATCAGTACGAGAAATCAGAAATGAATGAGAGAGAATAGCGCCTAATTTTACTACCGATACCAAGCTATCGATACTATGGCAATAGTATGTAGTAGCCGACAGTATGCCAATAATTAGTTACAGTCGAGTCCAGATAATTCGAAAGGGCAAGGGGATCATTTTTTCGATTTACACAGAAATACAAACTATCGATAATTATCGAGAACGATTTTTTCAAAGAGCTCGATTTTTTTATTTATCGCTTTTTCCGAATGAGTTGAGAACAAATTATCGAGCCTCGGCTATGTAAATATCAGATCTAGCTACTAATATCTGGTGATTCTATCCAACAAAATATATACCCCACGATTTATGGTCCAAAAGTGAAGTTACAAACTTCATCTGCTACTTAATTATCGATAAGTAACATCGATAGGCAATAAAACTCCTAAATTAAACAGAAACAATCGATATGTATATATTTATATATATGTATATGAAAATATGTACTGGAATACCCCAATATTACCCTTATAATTCTTATAATTGAGCAGAGCTGATCATCAGCTTTGCTCTAAGGAAATCTTCTTTAACTGTCAGCTCCGTCTGAGGAGCTTTCACTGCTGCGTGGCTCCCCCAGCTCAGTCGAGGCAGTTAAACCGCTAAAGCTTAAGGGCTTCGTGTAGTGGCACAATCTCTGGGTCAATCGCCCCTCGGGCAATCATTTCGCACCGCAAATCTATGCAGTTGTGGGCTTATCTCGCGCTTAGCTCGAGTGCAGCTCGATTGCAAAATATTTCCATGCGTTTGCATGCAGTGGTGCAGCAGTGGAGCGGTAGTGGTGCGGGGGTGGTGCGGTAGTGACGGTGTCAACGTTGTTAGATTAGTGTCCCATCAAATTAGGGAGAAGCAGCCAGAAGGGACGAGCTCTATTCAGACGGGACAAACGGTTAAAGCCATTGTTATCCTGCCATTCACGCTGACCGCACACACACACACACACACACACACACACTGAGTGCGTCTGTGTGCGTGCGAGGCAAATGCTTTAAATGGCTCTCGAGCGCAGGCGGCGTTGGACGGCGCTAGACGCGAGGCCAAATAAAAACTAAAAGCGGATACACACAATGTCCTTAATGAATGTTTCATGAACATCCTGCGAGCCACGCTGAGCTTCACACCTGCACCTGCCCGGGCCCGGTTAGCTGCGGATGCGTTTAAATGCGCCACTTGGCAGCTGAAAGACGCGCAGCGAGACAGACGGAGCGACAGACGGACAAACGGAGGGGGCAAGTGAGTGAGCGAGTCGCCTAAGTGCAGCACTAACTTCATTTGTGCACGCAAAGCCGCAGCTGGCGGCGCGGCAGGCGTGGCAGGCGTGGCGTATGCGTAACGCAAGCTCAAAGGGCTGCGCCAAAACAACTCACAAGCCAGCGCATAGCAAGCCAATGTGAAAAGCAAGCGACCCACCCGAGCCACTCGAACCACCAGCGACCCACTCGAACCACACCTTGTGCAGCACACAATTAGTATGCACTGCATGAGGCACACGGTGCTGAGCTCGGCGACTGTTTCTCTGTCTTTAACTACCTCACTCTCTCTCTCTCTTTTTTTCCCTTTCCCTGCCCCACTCTCTCTCTCTCTCTCTCTCTCTCTTTCACCTCTCTCTCTCTCTCGTTTTGTTAAATTGTGGAAATTTCATTGTTATTATTATCATAGATCAATTGCAATGATAAATCGTGCAATGAATGAATGAATGAATTACTGACTGAATGACCCAATGAATGAATGAATCAATGAATGAATTCACCGGGTCAAGTATGTCGTAGAACAGGTAGCATTTAAAGTTTGTTATATTATGAAACATCAGCGTCTAGAAATGCATTGAAATTAAGCAGATTCCAATAAAAACTTAAGTGATAATAAATTCCATTAATTTTTCTCCATCGCTCTCTTCTTTGTTCTGACTATTTATCTATCTTTCACTTCCAATTCTTATTTTTCTCTATCCTTATCAGTCTTTCTATGACATTGTCTCACTCCTCTCTTTCTCATTATCTACCTATCTGTCTTTCTCTCTCTCTCTCTCTTTCTCTCTCCATCCTTATCGATCAATCAAACTCCCTCTACCTTCTCTGTCTGTCTTTCTTTCTCTTTTGTTCACAATCCATCCATCTCTATCTATCTCTATTTGTATCTTCTCTCTATCTCTCTCTCTTATCTTCTCTCTTTCTCTCTCTATCTTTTTCAATCTATCTCTCCTATCGCCTTTATCCCTATATTTCTCTCTGCTCTATCTCTATCTCTCTCTCTCTCTCTCTCTCTCTCTCTCTCTCTCTCTCTCTCTCTCTCTCTCTTATCCCCCTGCGCTTACTCCAGCACTCGTCTTCGCTCTCCCCTTCGCCCTCACATTCTGCTTCATTCAGATTTCCCATTTTCACCTGCAGAACCATATCATTTCTATTTTCAATTTATAGTTGTATTATTTCCCTTATTTCCTTTAACTTCTACTACTACTACAATTTTTTTTTTCGCATCTTATTTTGCTTATGCCGAATGCTGGCTCTGCTTGTTCTGGAAATTAAGCTTTGAAAAATGGCTTACTTGCTCACTCCCATGCTTTCTCTCTCTCTCTCTCTCTCTCTCACACACACACACACACACACAGTCAGTTACATTGGCCATACATAAGTATTTAGAAAATTACTTTCATTCGTGCTTCGTTTGGCTCGTTACTGGGAATGCCCCGGCAACTGGTTGGGGTTTCCCCGCCCCCCTCTTCGCCGTCCTGCTTTGCCTCCGAACAGCATTTCTGCTGCGTAGTTTTTGTGGCATTACAAAAGCATTTTCATTTGTATTTAGCTGTCGCTCTCTCTCACTCTCTATCGCTCTCGCTCTCTCTGTGTCTGTCTGTCTGCTCACTCTGTAGCTTTTTGGACTAGCCCATTATCAACGTTCCCTTTGCAAGAACCCCTTTCCCTTCTCTCTCTCACTCTTCCTCACTCTTCCTCACTCTTCCTCTCTCTGTCCGTCTCTTTTTTCCTGGCTCTCTTGTGTTCCTGTGGTTGTTGTGCGTTGCCTCTGCCATTGTCGTTGTTGCATTTGTAAACTACAAAAATGAAATTAAGTTCACACTTTGTCATGTGGGGACATTTACGGTTTTTAATTGTTTTGAGCTGAGGAGCTCCGGCAGCGGGAGCAACGGGGGGGGACAACGGGGCCAACAGGCAGCAAACGGCGTTGAATGCGAAGCGCTCCGACTAGAATGGAGTCCACATAAGTTGAGGAATGTTGCGCACTTTTCGGGAACAAAGCAGACTCTTGGCTCCCGCCCCCTGCCCCGCACACCATGCCCAAAAACACTGAAGCCAAAGCTGAAGCTGAAGCTGAAGCTGTAGCTGAAGCCTTCTGCCCCCCTTTACCCCCTTCGCTGGCGTCCTGCTTTGCCTTTCATCTTGGAAATTGAGTAATGAATGCTTTCATGTCTTCATCGTCATCATCAACGCTGAGTTTGTTATAAATTTCACTTGTGTACATTTATAATTTCGTTAAATATTTGTTGTGCCTGCATGTGTGTATGTATATGTATATGTGTGTGTGTGTGTGTGTCTGTGTGTCTGTGTGTGCACGGATGCTCGTTTGCTTTTCTAATTAGAAAGTATTTTCTGCACATTGTCTAAATGAAGGACCCTGTCAAGGACCCCTTGAATGCCACTTCGGACTCGGATTGCTCGGCCCCACTTGAATTATGCAATTCAAGTGCAGAAGCTGCATGCCATAAATGTTTTTGCGGTTAATTAACTGCATTCATTACAAGCTGTTGCCCACCTAAAGCTCTGCGATAAAAGTCAAGTCATAAATTGTGAGAGATATGGCATCAGCAATGCCATCCAAGGTTATTCAGTTGCTCGCCTTACTTAGTCGATAGCAGATAGTAACGATAGTCGTGATAGTAACGATTATGGAATGCGACTATGTACATTTATAGATATGCATGAATATATGTATGTATGTTCGTTCTGTTAACGCCGGTTTTTGTCCGATAGTATCGATCAACAACTATCGATTGCAGTTATACCACATTATATGATGCCAATCCATCTTCTTCTACTTATAGAGGCATATAAATAGAGTAGAGCTGGTAAACTAACGATGCTGGCGGCATTTGCCATTTACGATGTTTTGAGAGCATAAATTCGATACTATCGGTAGCATGTTTGTTTTTTAAGTTGCCGTTGAACCTTTAGAGCTTTTTCTAGTGGTATATGGAATATCTATAATTTTGGATAGTTCGTATTCAATATCCAATATTAGTGATACGTAACAGAAATTACAAAATAAAATATATACAAAAAAAAAATATCGATATTGGTATATCGATTAAGGTATAAACTCGTTACCTCGACAGTTTCATTGCCCAGCTCTATTTGCAACTCCGCTATATGCAATACTGAAGCTACCGTTAACCCACATTCCATTGCGCCTGGCTGGGATCCTTATCCGCTGATCACTTAATGTTAATTGCCCCATAATGCTCAGCAGTTGATTAAAAGTCTGAATGCGAGTTCCGTTTGAGTTTTAAGCTGATTTTTGGTCCCTCTTTGGCATTTCCTTTTTTTTTTTAAAGGTAAAAATGGATGCTGCGCTGAGCAGCGCATTTAATTCTCGCCGTCATTTATTTTTCTCTTAGCGGGAAATTTTGTAATTTTTTTTCTCGTTTGCCGTTTTCCTGATTCACTTTTGGCGGCGGCTCATCGACTTGTAATCGCATTTCGGATGAAGAAACCAATTTCGCAGCAGATTTACATTCGCCTGGGCTTTTTGCTGGCCGCGACGAGATTTCGGCCCCAGCAGCCAGCCATATAGCAGTCGTCGTCGTCGTCGTCGTCGTCGTCGTCTGGCCGCTTATCTGACGCCTCTGACATAATATATAGCACAGTTTTTGTTTGGGCTTTTGGCGCAGATGCCGACGCCCAGAAATGAGGTTTGCCCGTCCGCAGCCGCGGCAGTTACCTAATTTTTTCCTCTCTTGCCTGACTTCTTCTTCTTCTGCTGCTGTTGCTACTCATCCTCATCCTCATCCCCATCGCCATCGCCCATCACCTATCGCATTGCTTGGCCATGTTTTGGGTTTTGTTCTTGCCACAGAGCACTGGAACCTGGCACTGACTAAGTGGAAAGTGGAAAGCGCATAGAGATCCGCATCACATGAAAAACTTATTTGCAAATCTAGAAAAGGATTTCTGCCATGTTCCGGCCACGTGCAGATGCGCAACTTGGTCCCGTTATCAAGCTGAATAGATCTTAGATTCAAATGGCATGGAAACTAATTAGAGATATGAAAAGTGAAATTAAACAAAAGCCGACAGTCGACAATTTGCTCAGGATAAAGGATAAGGATGCTGTTGAGCTGGGGAAATTTTATGATTTCGTGTTGCTTTCAGTAAACTAGAGATGCTCGAGATTTGCATTTTATAGAAGCCCAGATTGTATATATATGTATATATGCTTATTTTAATTTAATTTTTGTATATACATTTATTTATTTATTTAATTAATTTTTGACTTTTTCCACTAGCTGCAATAATTAATTAATTGATTAGAGCTGTCCACGCACAAGCAACTGCTCGAAGTCAAACGACAGTCAGTTTAATCTACAAACATACACACATACACACATACTACATATGCATATGCATGTGTGCTTTCACACCGCGAGCTGCGGCTTAGCTTAATGGGCATCAATGCCTTCTCACAGCATGGCAGCCCGCTTCAAAGTTTTGCTTTGCTCTTCGCCTAGCAGGTAGGAAACGGGATCTCGCACTCTCTCTCTCTCTCTCTCTCTCGCTCAACACAAATTTCTACTTACGTGCGCTGCAGCTTGTGCATGCAATGCATATGAATATTTAAGTGTGCAGAGAGAAGGAGAGAGCGAGAGAATAGGAAGAGGCATGTATAAAAGGACTGTGCATGAGCATCAACCACTTCGGCTGAACGCACGAAGAGCACTAAAGCTTCGCTCTTTGACTTAAGTTGATCAAGCTCAAAGTGAAGAAGACGAGCAAATACGAAGCTGAGAGAGAAGAAATGAGCGAATTTAGTGAGATGAAATGTTTTGTTTGTGATGTGCCTGCTGGGCATATACATACATGTACATATGTATATGTGTATGCACGAATCGGGTGAGTTGAAATGATTTGTTGAAGATGTGACATCTTCGTCTGTATGTACATACACGTGTACACACAAATGCATATGTATGTCTGTATATGCATGCATAATATTGAGTACAATTAAAGCGCAACAAAGTCAACAACAAACGAAAAACGAAAATAAAAGCAAACAAAATCCTAATAGGTGAACACTTTATTTGAAATTTAATTAACAAGCCGCAAGCCTCAGTGGCCATAGGTTCCTTTTCATTTTATCTCTAATTTTGAAATAAAAAAATAAATAAATTGAATGACGTAATTAAATCAATATATTAATTAAATTTATTAAAATATGTGCAGTAAATAATTATTATTTTGTATACAGGCATTTAATGCCATAAAGAATGCCGCACACACACACACACACACACACACACACACACAGAGACGCACACAAAGCAAACTCAATTAGTGTAAGCCAGAAAAACAAAAATACTCAAATATCTTTTGATGAGCAGGCAAAGTGATTTATTCACGTGCTGATAGATTTTCCATAAATATTGAAACTTTTCACCAATAATCGGATTAAGCCGAGCTGTGTAAGTAAATTATAAATGGCAAATAGTAATTTGATTGCATGCCTAGACCGCTTAACTCATGGCCAGGTAAGGCAGCAGCTTCTCAGTTTGGCTATTAATATGACCACAATCGATGTGCGTGTGTGTGTGTGTGTGTATGTGTGTGTGTGTGACTAGCTGCATGCAGCCAGCCCATGGTATTTGGTATTTGGAATTTAAGGCCAATTTGTGGCACGGCTCATTTGGCTACGCTGCCGACAAGGATCGCAGAACATGGCCTACGCAACAGCTGTTGCTACATGGCTCGACACGGCTTGGCTGGCATTTGCACCCATTCCAAATGCCGAATGCCAAATGCCGTGCGCTCACCCGCCTGCCACACCCCCCCTCCCACAACCGACTCATGGCATGCGTAAGCATTTGATTTCAAAACATTTAAAACGCTGTTGTTGGGGGCGGAGCTTGGGGGCGGGGTCTGGCTGGTTGCCACCCCTCTGTCATAAAAACGAAAGCTGAATAAACCGCTTATTGTGCCACAATGTCTACCCCGCATCGTCGTCGTCCCCTCCTCCCCCCTCACGACATCTTGCAATGATTAATTTATTGAAATTTGTGCTTATTGCGATTGCCAAATTTATGCTTTACGTTTTATTTGGACAAGCGATGCCGATAATTTGTCAAAAAGTCGTAAATTATGATATTACATTGAGCATAGGGAGGGCGCGCGAGGGGGCGGACTCTGTCAAGTGGGCGTGCCAAGCAATTGTTAAGCATTGGCGGAGCGAAAAGACAAGAAAAGTCTGGGAAAGCTACAAAAATGCCTCAGAGGTTGCATGTGGCATGTGGCATGTGGCATGTTGCATGTTGCATGTTGCATGTTGCATGTTGATTAGCACACACACACACACACACACATGCATATTTCACATAATTTAATGATGAATAATTAAAGTCTCAAAGCCAAATGTAAATTAAACTTCACTCGAATGAGAGAGGGCGACAGAGAGAGAGAGAGAGAGAGAGAAACACTTTAACCTGAATGTAAGCGTGCGTAATCAGTTTTTACTTCGTTCAATTGAATTGGCGCCCGACCGCCCAGCCGCCCCCTCGGAGCTCAGATCCAGCTCTGATTTCCATTGGAGCTCGCTGCATTTCTTTTGCGATGTTTTATTTTTTTTTTTGTATTTTAATGTTTAATGCAAGGCTTAATTTATACTCACTAATGGATTTCAGAGCGCAATGCACGGCATTCAATATTATCAATTACGAGACGCCGTCAATAACTCAGCTGCAATTGCCACCGAATGTGGCACGTGGCACGTTGACTGCAAAAGTGAAATAAAATCAAATTAATTATGAGACACACACAAAAAAAAAAAAAAAAAAAAAAAAAAAAAAATACATAAAGGAAAGCACATTTGACGTAACGTTGGCAATTGTTTGCCATTTAGCAAAATGTCTCCGGCACTTTTATTGATTCAATTTAATTAGGCTGCTCCTGCTGCTCCTGCTGCTCCTGCTAGCCTAAAACGCCAGCCGCTCAAATGGCTTGTCATAAATTTCGGCAGCTAAACACAGTTCATTTTTCATTGACAAATCGAAGAACATGAAATTCAACTAATTTGCACACTTTTGCCGCCAAGCCAAATGCAGCGGGCCCAAAATGAAAAACGTCCCAGGGAAAAAAAAGAGAAAAGGAGAAAGGAAAAACAAAACAAGATGGAGCAAAAACTGACGGAAAGCGAGCTGCCAATAAAATAAATGAGCGCCATTAGCTTGCTCACAATGATGAGCACTTGAAAGTGTAGCCAGGCAGAGCTTCACACACACACACACACACTCACACACTCAGGCACACTTGTGTGTGTGTGGGCAAAAGTATTGCGCGCTATTAACAAACTTGCTGTCGGCCATCGAGTATTAGCCCCAAGCAGCGCAACTAGCTTTAACAGCCGTTAGAACTTAATCTCAGATCTTGAAGTCAGCATTTTCTATGGCCGTACAAATCGAAGAGCGTTTTTCTCTTTCGCTCGGCAGACTCTGGACAGTTGCCTACTTAACTATTGCACTAGCTAAAGACTTGAACTAAGCTTCATCATTGAGCTGCTCAACAGAGCAGTTAAAGCTAAGTCTCAACTTGGTTAGAGTCGAAAGATCTAACGTTAGTGACTGCATTCGATCCTTTCTTAAGTATGCTGCTACTAACGATACTATCGTAAACACCTGGCCAATCGTTTTCTTTGATTCATATACTATATATATAATATATAATAAAATATATATATATATATTAGCTATATTATCTAATATAATGTTCCACTACACTATCGTATCAATTCTAACGCAAGAAGTGTTTCAATTTTTGACGCAGTGATACGATATTATGAACATTGTAGAAAAATCACTGATCTGGCGAAATCAATGTATAACATATAAAAATTATAATAATATTCAAAGAATATTCAACAAATGTTGTAAAATACTTTTCGAAAATTGCTTAAATATTTTATATATTCTCATAAATGTATATATTTTTTTAAATTTTTTTAAACATTTAAAATACAAATATTTATTTACAAATATTTAATGAATATAAAACTATTTAATGCAAAACTATTTTAGTCTTTATTGTATTATAACATTTGGAATAACTCTTAAATAAATTGTTATGCATTAAATATATTTACAAATATTTAAAAAAAGATTATAAAATGCAAAACAATCAAAATATTGTTTTTTATTATTATACTTTGCGTTCTTCAAATTAACTATAATAAATTAAGTAGGCACAAGAAAGATTGTCTTTCATTTAAACCTATGAAAAGAAAACGTTCCTTCAGTTATACACCTAAAACGATTAAACGATATATCAACATCGACTAAAAGTTCAAGGATTTATCGAAAAATCGAATTTCCTTTGATGCTAAGGATAGTGCCAACAGATCTTATGCACAGATAATAGTCTAACAAATAATGAGTTAATTATTTGCTATCCAACAGCATCGACAGCAGCAACAACAACAAAACGAACAACATCTAGACTCTGTTCAAGTCCAACAGCAGCGAGGGAGAAAGAGAGAGAGCGAGAGAGAGAGAGAGAGAGAGAGAGAGTGATTCTGACTAGCTCTTCGGCCAGACTTGTCATAGTATTAGTGTTATATAAGAGTTGACTCCGAAGAAGTTTCAGCAATAGGCAGAGACACACAACCGCAGCTAACCATGGATATCAATCGATACTATTGGTAAGCCATCGATAGTTGTTAACAGCTGCAATGCCAATGGAGTTACAATGGAGTGTGTAATGCAATCGCATGCTATGCATGCACCGCGCAACGCCGGTTAATCTCTGCTCACTTCCAAGTGCTCCACTGTCTGCAGTTCGCATGCAGAAATGAATTCGCATGCAGCTTTCTGACATTCAAAGGGTTAATTGCACAAATGAGCACGGCAGAGACCATAAATTTATGCATGTGTGTGTGCTTGGCTCTGTGTGTGTGTGTGTGTGTGTGTGAGTCAGCAACTATTTGTGGCTGATGGCAATGCGTCGGCGAGCCAGATACTCTAAGTGGGGCGCAATTATGCAGCGCTTTTAAATATAATTTTCTTGCACTGCGCTTTACACTCGCCCTCAAAGCAAATGTGTGTGTGTGCGTGTGTGTGTGTGGTTGTCTGTGTGCAGAGTGCTTAAATAAACGACAACACTTGAAATAAATTGCAGGAAATCAAGTTAAATAAATTGCGCGAATGAACGAAACATCAGCGCCGCAAAATTAGTAGCAGTCGCAAGGACATGCCAACGACAAGTCGACGCCAGCATCGTTATCACACACACACACACACACAGTTGAGTATGTGTGGTAAAAGAAATGATGCTGCTGTCTGCATGCTAGCTCGCTTTAGTCTGCATGGCAAACATTTGACTGAATTCTTTTGATTTGCCACTGATGAAATGCAGTGTCTACCACAGCACGCACTCACACACACACACACACACACTCACACTCTCCCTCCCTCTCTCTCACTGTTAGCTGTGTGTGACAGTCAGCTACGTGCCTGCTATCAATTACATGCAACAATAGCAAAAACAAATCACAACCGGCAACTGGCGACACCAGAGACCAAAAACCAACAACAACAACAACAGCAACAACAACCCGAACAACAACCCGAACAACAACAAGGACATCATTTCATTCTTATAAATGTGTGTAATTAGTTGCGGGTGTCCGTGTAATTATTTCGATTGAATTCATTTGATTACCCAATTAAATGGTTCACCTACTGCCTTTACGCCTACGCAACGCTGCGACGTTTACTTTTAACTAAGTTCCCCGCTAATTTGCCAGGAGATACGAAAAGACACATCGTTAGCGCATAGAGCAGCTTAAGCATATGCCAATATTTACATAGAATATACATGTGCATGTATGTCTATATATGTGTGTACATAAGTCATATTAAAGCAATTTTTGTTATATATTTACGTGAAAATAACAAGAAGGAAGTCGAGACTGCTCGACTAGGAGATACCCTGCATCGTTTGAGGTACTGAAATGCCCATATTTCTGCGCTTCTGTTCTGCTTGCAGAGCAAACAGCTGTGAGCGCTGGGGGAAATGTGAGAGCTGAGAGAAATAAGAGGACTAAGAGAACTATGAGAACAGAGAGATCTATGAGAGCTGTGAGAACTACGAAAACTGGAAGAACAATGTGAACGATTAGAACCATCAGAACTGGAAGATTTATAAGAACTGAGAGAACTATAAGAACTGAGAGAACTTTAAGAACTGAGAGATTTATGATAACTAAGAGAACCATAAGAACTGAGAGACTATGAGAACTGAGAGAACTATGAGAACTGAAAGAACTATGAGAACTGAGAGAACTATGAGAACTGAGAGAACTATGAGAACTATGAGAACTTAGGGAACCATGCGAACTGAGAGAACTATGAGAACTGTAAGAACAATGAAAACTGAGAGAACTATGAGAGCTGAGATTACTATGAGAACTTAGGGAACCATGCGAACTGGGAGACCCATGAGAACCATGAGAACTTAGGGAACTGCGAGAACCATGAGAACGATTAGAACCATCAGAACTGGGAAAATTATGAGAACTGAGAGAACTAAGAGAACTATGAGAACTGTAAGAACCTGTAAGAACAATGAGAACTGGGAGAGCTATGAGAACGTTAAGAAATATCAGAACTGGAAGATTTATAAGAGCTGACAGAACCATGATTTTTTGAACAATTTTTCCTGTAGATAGACTTTTGCCATCAAACATTCAGATTGTGATAATGACATTCAATATGTGTATACTTGCCAAATATAAAGTAGAGTCCGGCAATAGCGACTCCGCTTATAGTGTCCGTACGTCTATTGCGACGAAAACTCTAATACCTAGACAAACTTACATATATAAGCAGACATAGATAGTTGTAGCATCACCCGGGTATAGCTACAGTCCCTTTAGCGTCGTCATAAACGGATTCTACTGGATGTGGAATACGAAATAGGTGGGATGGGGATGGAAGTGGGTCAAAAATCAGAAGTACAACAACTCTAATCGGAGACCATACTTCAACTAATGAGGGAAATATAGCTTTAAAACTCATTTTCGATAAGTCTTAGAATCGATTGCACTGCAAGAGAAATAGTTATCGATCTGTCTCCAGCTTTTATGGGTCATACGATCGGACATAGTGAAAGACAAGGTTAAATCGATTCAGCCACGATAAAAATGGATGCACTTTATGGGCTCTGCCACGCCTCCATCTGCCTACTTCAACAAAACCATTTTATCCAGATTTCGTATTTTCAATGGGTTTCATGGGTAAGGCAGATACATATGTAAATTTGCAATTAATTATTATTTAAATATTTTCCATTACAATTGCAATTATAATATATATTTTAATTCGTTAATATATATATGTATGTATGTATATGTGTGTGTATTTGTAATCGACTTTAAATTAGTTGTCAGAGCGATTTAAAGTGATAGAGTAAACAGACGGCGCCTCACGCTGGCCTCGCGCTGGCCTCACGCTGCGTATACGTAATCTGCGCATGTTTCCACAGTGGAAATGAAGCGGCAATTAAATGGCCGTTAAATTGGCAATGTCCGAAATTGAAACGCATGTCAAACGGCGGTTAATGCAAATATTTAGCAATGCCAAAGTCGTAAAACAAATGTTTGGATTGAGCGACATGCTCTACGTGTAAATAAATGACCGCAAAAAGGATTGACAATTGACATACGCACACACACAGGAAACTTTTATTTGGTTAGCAAACACAAAAATATTTCATAAATT